ATCTACCCTGTTGTATGAGCTTTAGGATTTTGTATGTTTAAATTAGATCACCTCTCATTCTTTGAAATGGCAAGAGAATACAAGCCCAATTTGCCCAATCTCTCTTTATAGGTCAGTCCTGCCATTCCAGGAACAAATCTGTGAACTTTCATTGCTTGATTGGCACCATATCCTCAAATATCTCCCCACCACCGATACTCAGTAGCAGCATTGCATACTATGTACAAGATGTACTGGAGAAATTCAAAGATCCTTAGACATCACTTTCCAAACTCAGTGTCATCTAGAAGAACAAGGGCTGCAGACACATGGGGGCACCACCTCCTGCAAGTGCCCCTATAAGGCACTCACTATTGTAACGTGGAAATATATTGCCATGCCTACGGTGTCACTGGGTCAAAATCCAGGAGTTCCTTCCCTAAAGGCATTGAGGGTCAACCGACAGCATATGGACTATGGTGGTTCAAGGCAGTGGCTCACTACCACCTTCTCTAAGAGATTGCAGGGTGACTTGGACAGGCTGGCTGAGTGGGCAAATACTTGGCAAATGCAATATAATGTGGATAAATGTAAGGTTATCTACTTTGGTTTCAAAAACAGGAAGGCAGTTACCTGAATAGTGGCAGTTTAGAAGAAGGTGAGGTACAACGAGACCTGGGTGTCATGGTGGAACAGTTGCTGAAGCAGTTTCGATCTCCTACTCCAAGGAAGGACATTCTTACAATTGAGGGAGTCCAGCAAACCAATTTCTGGGATGGCAGGACTGACATATGAGGAAAGACTGGTTCGACTGGGCTTGTATTCACTGGAATATAGAAGAATGGGGGAGGGATCTCATTGAAACATAAAATCCTGATGGGACTGGACAGGCTAGTTGTGGGAAGAAAGTTCCTGATGTTGGGGGAAGTCCAGATCAAGGGGTCACAGTCTAAGAATCAGGGGTAAGCCATTCAGGATTGAGATGAGGAAGAATTTCTTCACCCAGAGAGTTGTGAACCTGTGGAGTTCTCTCCCACAGGAAGCTATTGGGGTCAGATCATTAGATATATTCAAGAGGGAGCTGGTCATGACCCTGCTGCTAAACGGCTCAAGGGGTATGGGGAGAGGGTGGGAATGGGATACTGGGATTGCATAATCAGCCACAATCACACCGAAAGATGGTGCAGGCTTAAAGAGCTGAATGGCCTATTCCTGCACCTACTTTCTATGTTTCTTAAGGGCAACTAGGTAAGGGCAAGAAATGCTGGCCAGCCAGTGATGCTGATGTCCAAGTGAATTTAAAAAAAAAACTCCCACTTTAGCAATAGTATCTTTCCTGAGAAAAGGAGACCAAACTGCATAAAATACTCCACGGCAGACTAACCAAGTTTCTATACATTGAGGCACGACTTCACTACTCCTGTACTCAAATGTACTTGCAATAAAGGCGAACATTTTATTAATCTTCCTAATAGTTTGCTGCATCTGTATGTTAGCTTTCAGTGACTTATTGAAAAGGTCACCCAGGTCCCTTTGAACATTTACACTTTGCAAAATCTTACAATGTAAGAAATAATCTACCACATCTGTTCCGCCTTCCAAAGTGTATAACCTCACATTTTTCCACATTATATTCCATTTATCATGTCCTTGCCCAATCACGAAGCCTGTCAAATCCTCCAAAATGTTCTACATCTTCCTCACAAGGTACATTGACACTTAGCTTTGTATCTTTGGGAAACATTATATTTGGTCTCTACAGCAAAATCATTGATATACATAGTGAACAGAGGACCAAGTACTGATCCTTGTGGTACATTACTAATCTGAGAGTCTGGCAATGAGAGAATGATCCATTTATTCCTACTGCCTGTTTTCTATCTGTAAAGATGACAGGTTAGATCTCATAAGGCTAGCTGGCCTTTAATTCCAAAAATGCATTTTTAAATTAAAAATGTGTCCTATTACAGAGACAAAATAACTGCACCTGTGAATTCAGTGACTGGCTGACAAGATTTCTGTGGCACAGATTGGATGCAACACCTAAAGATGTCAAAGGAGGTTCAAAAAAACTGGACTGTGATCTCATGTCTAAAAGATCATGTGGACTGATGACATCCTGCTTGACAGCAAGCCACACCCTGTAGTTTGGGTCCCAAAACTTCAGATACATTGAGGTTCAAAGGGAAGAACAAAGGTGGTGGAAAGATGGCACTTGGTAATCAGCATGTGGTTTACTAGCCCACATTTGACCTGATTTTGTGAGGTTCAGAGTCAGTGTTGATTATTGCTAGGCCAAATCTCCACCATCTGTATATCACCATGTTGATTCTTGTGCTGCTTATGTCTTGTCAGTCAAGCAGGACATATTCAACAGTAGTATTGGAGGAGTTTAGGATATTGGCTCAGAGATATAATTTCTGAGTGTGACTTCATCTGCCTTTCTCAACGTTCCTTGCAATCTTCTAGCTACTTTGCAAGATCAACTGAGTAAAGCAAATTATATTTCTGGTCAAACCAGGTGATCTCTTTTTTTTGAAAAATTCACTTGTGGGACTTGCTAACTGACCAGCATTTATTGAATGTCCCTAGTTGCCCTTGAGGTGGTGCTGGTGAGCTGCCTTCTTGAAATGCTGCAGCTCACATGCTTGACCCACAATGCCCGTAGGAAGGGAATTCCAGGATTTTGACCAGTGACACTGAAGGAACACCAATATATTTCCAAGTCAGGATGGTGAGTGACTTACAGGGGAACTTGTGCTGTCCTTGTCCTTCTAGATGGAAGTGATTGTGGATTTGATTGGTGTTGTCAAAGGACCTTGAGTGAGTTTCTTCAGTGCATCTTCTAGATAGTACACACTGCTACTGAGCATCGGTGGTGGAGGGAGTGGATGTGGTGCCAGTCAAGTGAGCTACTTTTTCCTGGATGGTGTCAAACTTCTTGTCGTGTTGGAGCTGCACCCATCCGAGCAAGTAGGGAGTATTCCATTGCACTCCTGATTTATACCTTGTAGATGGTGGACAGGCATGTCTGGTGGAAGTTACATGCTGCAGTACTTCTAGCCTCTGACCTGCTCTTGTAGCTACTGCATTTAAAAAGCACCAGTTCAACAGAAACCCCAGGATATTGATAGTGGGGTATTCATGGCAGATGGACATTCAGACCTAGGTCTCTCGCTTCCCTAACACCCCTCAATACTCTTTCACTGTGACCTCCCAAATGCATCACCTCATATTTTTCCAGTTGCTATTTTTCTACCCATGCTGACCCGTCCATTGATATTTTCCTGCAATCCACAGCTATTTTCCTCAGTAATCTTGCAAATATCTTGATGATAAATACCCCTTACAGTTATACTCAAATCAGCAACATATCCCACAACAAATGGGTTATCCAACCAGGTGGAGCTCCACCGGAAACAGTCTTTGCATAAAGTAACCAGGAAACATTACCCTTTGGCTCAGTGTTAGGAAACAATTTTGTATGCAGCTTGCTGAAATCCTTACATCTTTTGTAATTTCATAGAATCTCTACAGAGCTGAAAGAGGCCATACAGTCTATCAAGCCCACACTAACCCTCGAAAGAACATCCCACCCAGACCCACCACTACTCATGGTTAACCCACCCACCTGCACATTACGGGACAATTTAGCATAGCCATCCACCTAACCCGCATATCTTTGGACTGTGGGAGGGAAATCCACGCAGACACGGGGAGAACGTGCAAACTCCACACAGACAGTCGCCCAAGGGTGGAATTGAACCCGGGTTTCTGGTGCTGTGAGACAGCAGTGCTAGCCACTGAGCCACCGTGCCACACGAGTCTTTATCAAAATCCTTGCTATAAACCATGTAGACTCAATCAACTACACTGTCCTCATCAATCCTCCTTGTTATTTCCTCAAAATATTCAATGGTGTTAGTCAGACACAATTGATGGGGAAGAGATGGTGTAGTGGTAACATCAGTGAGCTGGAAATCCAGAGCCCTGGGCTAATGTGGCTAGGTGGTATATTCAAAACTGCCAAATTTGAAATCAATAAAAAAAAATTGGAATAAAATGCTAGTCTATTGGCAACCATCTTCAATTATCATTTAAAAAAAACCCATCTGGTTCACTAATATCACTTGGGGAAGAAATTCTGCCAGCTTTCCCTGGTCTGGCCTACATGTGACTCCAGACTCTCAGCTGACTCTTGTCTTCTGGCAACAAAGTAGGGATGCCAACACATGCTGGCCTAGACAACACCAACCACGTCCCAGGAATGAATTAAAAAGAGGGACAAATCTTTCTTTTTCCAAGTGATAGTTTTTCTTAAAAAAAATTTCAGAACACATTCTAATAATTTGCCCACTACCACCCATTCTCATTGAAATATACTCGATTCTTAAGGGGCTTGACAGGGTAAATGCTGAGCAAATATTTCCTCTCATGAAAGAGTCTAGGACCAGAAGGCATAATCCCAGAATAAAAGGGTGCCAATTTAAGACTGCGGTGAGGAGGAATTTACTCTCTCAGCGGTTTGAAAATCTTTGGAACACCTCGCCACAAATCTGTGGGGGCAGTGTTCTGGTGTATACCGAAGGTTGCAATCAATAGATTCTTGATCACTCAAGAAATCAAGGGTTACAGGGAAAGGGCAGGAAAGTGGACGTGAGGAATGTCAGATTAGCCATGATCCTATTGAACGGTACAGCAGGCTCAAGAGGCCAAATGGCCTCCTCCTGTTCCAATTTCTTATCATTCTTACTGGCCCGTAATTATTTTGTCTACTCTGGCTCCCTCTTTAAAAAAAGAGTAACACGTTAGCTGTTCTTCATTCCTCCATGGGACACACACAGCAGTTAGTGACACGCGCACAGGGTCACGGGCACTTTCCTGCATGTGCACACGCGCGCACACAGGGGCGCGGGCACTTTCCGGCGTGTACACGCGCACACACACAGGTACTTCCCTGTATACACACACACACATACAGGAACAACAGTTAATGACACCCACAGAGACACTTTGCTCACCTGGCCGGCCGGCCAGCCAGCTCGGAGGATAGGAAGCACAGACTTTTCGCTTGTTAAGAGTGCAGAGAGTTGCAAAGATCTCGCACCCCACCCTGTTGCTGTCTGAGTTCTGCGCTCTCTCTACCTGCTGCTTCCAGCTGAGTTGAGGCGAGAGAGGTTGCTGCCGGCCCCTTGAAGCGGCTCACGGACAGATCAAGTTGCACAGGGCCCCAGCCTAGGGTCGCAACCTGCCGCCGGCCAGATCCAGGAAACCTGCTCCGACCCCGGAGGAACCTGGAATCTCCACATCCGGTGAAGGGAGCTCGTCCCTCCCAGGAAGGTGTGGAGGCTTTCGGCAGGCACACCCACACTGATCAAGTTAACAAAGTTTCACCCAACTGGAAAGTCAGGGCTCGCTAAACTTCACATGAAACTGCACAGCAAGCAATTTATAAAGGTGATAGCAAGAATAGCAGATGCTGGAGGAACACAGTAGGTCGGGCAGCATCAGAGGGGCAGGAGTCACCGTTTAGGATCGGGACTGTTCCCGAAACGTCGACTTTCCTGCTCCTCTGATGCTGCCTGACCTGCTGTGTTCCTCCAGCTCCACACTATGTTAACTCATCTTTTAAAGGTGTCTGCTCGGGTTTATTGAGCTCAATAAGCCAGTCTGACACTTTCCCCGGATTGCCGTGAAATCACTGGAAATTATAGGATGAATGTGATAATTAGTGAAAAAGACAAAAGTACATATTTAAAATAATGTTTCATATTGCTAATCGGAGTGGAGATGAAAAGGCTATTTTCCGGAGTAGGAAAAGCATCCCTACGTGCCAGAAAATCGGCAGCAAGCCAAATCTACCATTGTGCCTGTTGGTACTTGATTTCACCTGGTGGGAACGAAGGTCCGTGTTCAGTCCTGTACTGTAGCAATCTGGATTCCAATCCAGTCAGTCACTTCCACTGAATCCCAACCTTCCCATTTTCTCCTGCACAAACATTCTAGGATTATTTCTTTCACCCAACTCCAAACTGAATTTTGTCAGCTTCCTCTCCTGAAGACATTAACTGGTGTAAAATTATCCATTGTCGACAGGGCCCTCAATCGGGTCCAACCCATCTTCCGCACTTCTGCCTTCACCCCTTCTCTTCCCTCCCGCAACAGCGATAGGGTTCCCCTTATCCTCACCTACCATTCCACCAGTATCCACATCCAGAAGATCATCAGACGCCATTTCTGCCACCTCAAGCAAGATGCCACCACCAGACACATATTCCCCTCCCCTCCCTTGTCCGCTTTCCGCAGGGACTGTTCCCTCCGGGACACCCTGGTCCACGCTTGCTTCACCCCCAACACCTCCCCACAGCCCTACGGCACCTTCCCCTGTAACCAGCGAAGGTGCAACACCTGCCCATTTACCTCCTCCCTCCTCACTATCCAAGGGCCCAAACATACCTTCCAGGTGAAGCAACACTTCACCTGCACTTCCAAGAATCTAGTCTACTGCATTTGCTGCTCACAATGTGGTCTCCTCTACATTGGGGAAACGAAGCGTAGACTTGGTGACTGCTTCACAGAACATCTACGTTCTGCTCGCAAAAAAGACCCTGAACTACCTATTGCTTGCCACTTCAATGCACCACCCTGCTCTCTGGCTAACATCCCTGTCTTCGGCTTGCTACAGTGTTCCAGTGAAGCCCAACGCAAGCTGGAAGAACAACACCTCATTTTCCACTTGGGGACCCTACAGCCCTCCGGACTCGATATTGAGTTCAATAATTTTAGGGCCTAAACTCTCCCATGTCCCAGCCCCCCACCCCACACACCAGGCCTTGTTACCACATAGCCTGCCTTTACACACCCTCTGTTGTTAGTCACTAACAGTCCCCATTAACAACTACTCACCCTCCCAGCCTGATCGTTAGCAACTCCTTTGTCTGTCCAACTGTCCTTCTCTCTCTTCGGGCTCTATCCTATTGTTTACTCCCTACCTCACCCACCTCCCTATTTTCTGCATATAAACTGACGTTTTCCCAGCCATCATCAGTTCTGAGGAAGGGTCACCGGACCCGAAACGTTAACTCTGTTTTCTCCTCCACAGATGCTGCCAGACCTGCTGAGCTTTTCCAGCAACTTTGTTTTCGTTCCTGATTTACAGTATCCGCAATTCTTTTGGTTTTTATTTTGTAAAATTATTCTACCTGGATCAGGCATTCTTAAATACATCACACCTTATTGGTTATCCAGTCAGCATGCTGAGTGTTTACTGACATTAGATGTGTTTTTCCGACTGTCGGCAATGGATTCATGGTCATCATCAGACTCTTAATTCCAGATATTTATTGAATTCAAATTTGGTAGATTCCACACCAATCCTGCTGGAGATGGTGGCCAGTCAGGCGTGGTGGCCGTACTGGAATAGTGGTAATGTAATAATATCTCTGGGCTAGTAATCCAGAACACTCAAGCTAATGCTGTTGGGGACATGGGTTCAAATTCTATGAGTGCAATTTGAGTTCAATATAAAAAAATCTGGCAGGTGATGGAGAGTCCTGTGGTGCAGTAATAGCGTCCCTACCTCTGAACAGGGAAACCCAGATTTAAGTTGGTGCTAGGCTCAAATGAGGGAAGGAATGAAAGGACAAAGGAGATAAGTCAATGGCTGAAGAGGCACAGTAATGAGCAGGGATTCAGGTTTTGGATCATTGGGATCTCCTACGGCAGAAAAGACCTGTTTAAAAAGAATGGATTGATTTCACCCGAACTGGAAGGGACCAATATCCTGGAGGGGATATTTGCAAATTCTATTAAGGGAAACTGTAAACTATTAGAGAAGGGGTATAGAGGGATCCTAAGTAGCACAGCAAATGGAAAGATAGATGAGGATAGTTTTGAATTTGGAAAGAACAACTTAATTAAAAAAGACAGACAAGAACAAGTCAGCAAATGAGGTAGCACTGAAGAATTAAACAGCATTTATTTCAGAGCAAAGGATCTTACAGGTAAGGCTAATGAACTCAGGGAATGTTTGGCAAGTCAATGCTGTCGGTTTCAGATGTTATAGGAAGAATAGAAAGGGTGACAGAAGAGGAGGGTGAGTGGCATTTTCGATTAAGGAAAACATTATGCTGTAACAAAAGAGATATTTCTGAAAAATCGTCCAATGAAATTAAAAATAACAAAGGAATGATAACCTTCATGGGATTGTAGCATAGCCCTCCCACTAGTCAGAGGGAAATTGAGGAGCAAATATGTTGAGAGATTTCAGATATATGTAAGAATAATGAAGTTGTAATATTGGTGATTTTAATTTTCCAAACATTGACTGGGACTACCACAGTGATAAAGGTTGGATGGTGAAGAATTTCTTACATGTGTTCAAGAAAATTTTCTTTATCAATATGTAAATATTCCTACTAAAGAGCAAAACCTGACCTTCTTTTGGGTAATAAAGCAGGGCAATTGACTGAATTGATGGTAGAGGAAAACTTTGGGTCTAGTGACCATAATTCTATTAGTTTTAAAATAGTTATGGAAAAAGGTTAAGCCTTCCATCAAAATTAAAGTTTTTAATTGGAGTATGGCAAATTTTAATGGTATGAGATAAGAACTTTCAAAAGTTGACTGGAGTGGACTGTTCGCAGGTAAAGGGATGTCTGACAAGTGGGAGGCTTTCAGAAGTGTGATAACAAGAGTTCAAGTCATTATGTTCCTGTTGGGAAAAAAGGTAAGCCTGGTAGGATTAGGGAACAATGGATGAATAAAGATGTTGAGGTTCTAGTCAAGAATAAAAAAAAATTATATATTGGATATAAACAACTGGTTTCAAATGCATCTCTTGAACAGTATAAATAGTGTAGGGTCATTCTTCAGAGGAAGATCAAGAAGGCAAAGAGATAGCTTTGGCAAATGCAGAGAAAGGATAGCCCTTATTGTCACGTGCACTCAAATAAGTGCAGTGAAAAGTTTGTAATGTCACATCTCAGCACCATCTTAGGTACAGGCTACCCAGGTACAGATACTTTAAGTGTTCTTACAGAATTGAAATAGTAGTTTAAAAAAAGACTAGCATGGGAATACAGAGTTTAAAAGTCCAGAATGAGATTAAAAAATGTCTTCAAAGTACTCAAGTCATTGTCCTTTTTTATTGAGTCCGTCCGTGCCCACCAGGCTTCAGAACTGCCTCCATGCGCTGGCCTCTGTCCCAGATTCGCCTTCAGAACTCGTTTCCACCCCCACCCCACCCAAGACCTGCCTGGGTTTGCTCTGCTCATGGTCAATGCTCCGGCCGCAACTTGGCTCCCAGCTCAGCCCACACTTGCTCTGCTCCAGCTCCGGCCGCAACTTGGCTCCCAGCTCAGCCCACACTTGCTTTGCTGTAGCTCTGACCGTGACTTGGCTCCCAGCACAGCCCACACTTGCTCTGCTCCAGCTCTGGCCGCGAGTTGGCTCCCAGCACAGCCCACACTTGCTCTGCTCCAGCTCCGGCCGTAACTTGGCTCCCAGCTCAGCCTGTGCACACTCTGCTGCCACTCCGGCCTCCAGCCGCAACTCACTTCTGGGACTCAGCCCGTGTTCACTCTGCTGCCACTCCAGCCACGACCCACTTCCGGGACTCAGCCGTCATGCTCTGCTCCCACTCCAGCCAGTTATAGAATTTCTTTGGATTATCCTTAAGTACATTAAGAGCAAAAAAGCAAATGGAGGGAGAGTAGGGCCCCTTAAAGATCAAAGAGGTCATCTTTATGTTGAACCACAGCAGATGGGAGAGATATTAAATGAATATTTTGCTTCAGTTTTTACTGTGGAGAAAGAAATGGAGGCTAGAGAACTCCAGGAAATAAATATTGATGTTTTGAAAACACTTCACATTACAGAGGAGGAAGTGCTGGAGGTCTCAGACGATATGAAGGTGGATAAATCTCCAGAACCTGATTTACTGTATCCCAGGACATTGTGGGATGTTAGGGAGGAAATTGTGGGGCCCCTAGCAGAAATATTTGTGTCATCTATAACTATGAGTGAGGTGGCAGATGACTGGAAAGTGGCTAATGTTGTACCTTTGTTTAAGAGAAGTTGTAAGGAGAAGCCTGGGAACTATAGACCTGTGAGTCTGACTTTGGTGGTGGGTAAGTTGTTGGAGGAGATTCTAAAAGATTTAAATGCATTTGGAGAGGCAAGGAATGATTAGGAATAGTCAGCACGGTCTTGTGCAAGGGAAATCGTGTCTCACAAACTTGATTGCTTGAACTTTAATAAAGCCTTTGATAAGGTTCCAC